TGCCCGCGAGTGCGCATGCGCCGCATCCCAGGAGGCCCCGCGCGCGCGTTTCCGGGGCGACGCTCGGGATCCCCGAGGCTGCGGGGCTGGCGCTGCTGCGGGAGACGCGCGGAGCAGGTAACCGCCGCCGCCCGCAGCCCCTTGGCCGGCGCAGCCCGGCGCTGGGTCCTGCTCAGTTCCGTCCGCGGTCGCCGGGCCCCCAGGGCCGGCCCTGCCCGGCGTGGGCCTCGCCAGCCGGCCGCGCCGGGGTCGGTAACGTGGGCCCCGGAGCGGATTCCAGAATGGTCTCTCCCAGCCCCTGCGAAAGGGGTTATGTGGATTTTACCTTCCCAGGTGCATGTTTTTAGCACACGCGTGGAGAACGGCAGCTCTTAGGTGGAGTAGGCAAGCTTGTGTTAAGCTCCAAGTCGAACGGTGCCGCCGGTGTCCGTGCCAACCGCCTTGAAACCGCGCGGAACAGAAGAATCCAGAACCTTCCCCCGGCTGGGGGAGAGAGGGGGGCAGTAGTGCAGGAAGTCGAGCCCTGCTCCCCCGCTTTCTCCTTTTTAGAGAAGCACCAGAGGGGGCAGTTGAAATGGGCACAGATGGCCAGGCCTGCGCCGAGGTCCTTGGTCCCCCCACCTTTGTTTGCAGTCTGAGCCCGCATCCCTCCGAGAGGCGGACTTGTCAGGGATCCCAGACTCCCCGTCTCCTTCTGCACCCCACTGCGGCCTGGCGTCCACCCTCATCTCTGGAACAAAACGCCGGTGATCGGACGTCCGCGGGCCGCGCTCGCTTGGGCTCTCAGCAGCACTGGGCGCTGCTGTCCCCATCTCTCTTGCACACCGGCTTGCTTTGGCTTCTGCCAGCAGCAGCAGCACCGCCCTCGCCTGCTTTCCAAGTGCCCTCCCGAGTCGCCTTCCTCTTCAGGCCTCCCTGATGGGGGCACTTCCAGGGCTGGGTGTCTGTTCTCGGTCGGCTGTCCCCTGGGCCCCTCTATTCTGACACGAGGCACAAAGCCGCGCCCACAGCTCCCAGTGCCGGGTGTCTGCCCCTGACTCTCAGTTCTCCCACCTGGTCTCCTCTCCTGACCCCGCGTCCAGCTAGCGAGTGAGCGGCGTCACTCCTGACGTCACTCAGATACCTCCAAATCAGCGTGCACGAGGCAAGCCATGCCCACCACCCAGCCCCAGCTGGGACATCTCTCACCTAAGGTTAGGATTTCTCCTTGACCGTCTCCCTCACCCCAGCATGCAGTGGATCACCAAGCCCTGGTGCTGTCTCCTGGGCACCTGGCGCATCTCCATGGTCCCTGGTCCCTGTCCCTGTCCCTGGTCCCTGGTCCAAGCCGCTGCCCTCGCTCAGCCTCCAGCACAGCTGCACTGGCTTCCCTGCTTCACCCTTGGCCTTGCTTCCTGCCAGCTTCCCATTGCCCTTGGGTTAACGATGGAAATAAGTATGCTCCAAGTCCACCCCCACATACCTCCCTACACCCATCTGGGAGCTGTCCTCTGTCACTGGGCCTCCCCTGCCCACCAGGCCGCGGCACTCTTCTCTCTGCCTGCAGTGTTCTCCCTCTTCTCATGTCTAGTCAGTTCCCTCTGACCCTTTCCATCTCAGCTCAGACAGCTCTCAGGGAGAGATGGCTTGCCAGATGCCTGTGAGAATCCTGAAATCTGAATTCCAAAATGCTCCAAGATCCAAGACTATTGGGTATATGTAAAACTGATGATTTCATGGTTAGACTTGAGTGCCATCCCCCAAAGTATATATCATTGTGTGTAGGCGCATATTCTAAAAATAGATATCCTCGCACAATTGCATATCTTTCCTTTAAAACACTCAACCAGGGACTATTGTAATTACTTTATTACCAGTATATAAGTGCCACAAAAACAAAACATTTCTGTTTGTGTTCATCATCGGAGTCCCACACTTCTCACGTTCCTGGCATATAGTAAGCACTCAGATACGTGTTGAAAGAATGAATGAAATTAATAATCTCATGTATAAGAGATATTTAATGTCTTTTATTAAGAAAGGATGAAAATTCTAGTTAAAAAAAGATGAGATAAACACTGGATATTAACAAATGTGGCACAGGGGAGCTAAATGTTGGCAGTCCTAAAGTGACCTGGGGCCTTCCTGGGACTGGCACAGCCGCACGTGGCCTCAGCCACCACTTGGTGGAAGCAGAGAGACACAGCTGCTTAGCCTGAAGGAGCATCTGTCCAGGGTCAGTCTGAAATAAATTCAAGCTTTTCATCAAAAATAAATACCCACATAAAAATTATTAAATGGTCAAAACCTACATAGCTAGTCTATGGCCATCCTAATTTTGAACATGACATATTTTCTTATTCTCAAATCTTGAAGTTTCTGGCATACAGAGGAATATTTCAGTTATGAATTTTGATGGCTCAACCAAGGCTTAGAAATCATTGCAAATCAACTAATTTCTTACTTTAATCAATTAAGGCCAAACAGCTTATTGGATTGGCAGAGCTGGGAATATAACTCTCATATCATATCTCACAGTCCTTTTCCTTCCTTGGCGTACTGCTACTCTTTTTTTTTTTTTTAAAGATTATTTATTTGAAAGAGTTACAGAGAGGCAGAGGCAGAGGAAAAAAGAGAGGTTTTCCATCCTCTGGTTCACACCCCCAAATAGCTGCAATAGCTGGAACTTGGCCAATCCGAAGCCAGGAGCCAGGAGCTTCTTCTGAGTCTCCCTCACAAGTACAGGGGCCCAAGGACTTAGACCATCTTCCACTGCTTTGCCAGGCCATAACAGAGCTGGCTTGGAAGTGGAGCAGCTGGGACTCAAACCCGTGCCCATGTGGGATGCTGGCACTACAGGCAATGGCTTTACCTGCTGTGCCACAGCACTGACCCCCTGCTACTCTTAATATTTTTCCTCCATCAATATTTAGACTATCCAAACTTCTGAAGCAAAAAATTGGGACACACAGTCTTAAAGGTAGATAAAATGTTTGAAATGGTATTCTTGACAGCTCTAGGAGTTGCTCGTCTTACCTGTAGAAAACCTTGTTACTAAGCAAGGGCAGATCATTTCTATTCATTTAACATTCTGTTTAACCTTGGGTCAAAGAGTTTGTGTTAATGAGCTCAGGCCTTTCATTCTATAGGAAGACACTGAACTTAGGTCTGGCTGATGTTTCCTCCTGACAGACTTCGGCTGAGCTGCTGGCAAGGTCACAACAATGACACTGCCTTTCTCAGTGCCCAGGGCCACGCGTGAGGGCCACCTGTCCCACCCCCAGCTAACGTGAACTTTGATCACCTGTTCAAGTCGCCTGTTTTCCTGTGTATTTGGTTTGTATTTTGGGAAGTGATGTTCTGATACCACTGCAAATCAATCTCCTTATCAACTCACGTTCACTGACCTTTAGCATCCAGTGGCAACTCTCACCTGTTTGAACCACCTCGATGTAGTTTTTAAACAGGAATTAGCTATTTCTGCCACTCCTGTACATTTATTTTCAGTAGTTGTTTCTATCATAAGAAAGTGCTTTCTCTTCCTTTGTCTTTTATTGATTCATTTATATTAGTATGGGCTCATGGATTCCTGTTTTATTCAGTGGGTTGTAATTCTAAATCCTCATTTATTTGCGAGCTCAAGATATCTTAGATTTGACCAGTGAGTGCTTCCTCAAGCCGACTCCTTGACAGCACCAGGCTTATCTTGTGCTTTGCTCCCTCTATCTGATACACCTCTCATTTCTTTGTTGTGTCTAATGGCATTGACTGGTACCTCCAGGACCATGTTAACAGCTGTGATAATAGGCATCCTTTTCTTAGTCCTTATAGCAGTGTAAATTAATGTTTCACCATTAAGCATAAGGCAAGTGTTTAGTGTAAGATATGTTTTTATAAATAATACTGGGAAAGCATTCATTAAGAGCATTAAGAACACTTGGAGTTGGGTTGACAAGAGTGAGAAGTGGTATGGAGACAAAGCAGTGGATTTGGAGACAGGAATTAACAAAGCACAGAAGCGCCCTGAAAACTGATCAGTATTTATTGAACACTCCTAGGCACTGGAGATTCAGCAGTCGATGATGCAGTCAGAAGTGCATACAATTTATTAAGTCAGGCAATAAATTAAATGTGTATTGTTAGATGATGAAATGTGCTAAAGACAAAAAGTAGGGAAGGGAATAGTTGCGTTATCAGCCTTTTGTCATAATCAGATAGTTGAGATATCTAATTTTGTGAAGGAAGATGTTTATTTAACTCATAGTTTTGGAGGTTCAAGTGCAAGATCAGTAGCTCCACTGGTTTGGCTGTGGTGAGAGCAGCAGATGGCGATCACAGAGCACATGGCGGGGAGGCCTCATGTGGTGAGCCAAAAGCAGAGAGAAAGGGTAGGCCCAACTCAGGGTCTCCTAACAAGCCTCTTGTGAAACTCCAGAGATTACATAAGAACTGCCTTCCAAGGGCAGGCCCCCAGGAACCTAAAGCCCCCCTTGTAAAGGTTCTACCACCTCCCAGCAATGGCGCCCTGGGAAATGCGCCTTTAACGTGGGCCTTGAGGGCCACTCACGTTCAGACCGTAGCAGGAATGTAGAGAAAGTTTAAGAAAAAGAGGGAAATTTTGCATGTCATGTTCTTGATTTATCCACAGAATAATTTGGATTGGGAAAGACAGTTGCTACCATTTGAGCTAGATTGTCCTTATGAATTTATTATAACTTCACTAAAGAATGTACACCTTTAAGAATCAGGATTTTTCTGGTTGTAATAATAGCCAAGAATCTGATGATTCATAAGACTGATTGTTCAGCCAAAGGAATACATTTCAGCATTTAATACTAAGTCGGTTGATGTCAGTGCTTCTAAAAATAAGATCCAGTGCCCACCAGTAAGTACCTACCAAAGTCTTCTGTTACTTTTGTCTACAAGCAAGAAACACAAAATCCAAAAACTCCTAATTATTTGTGTTCAACTTTGCACTGGAAAGAAAGAGGAGGCAGGTGAGTCCAGGGTTTTTTGTTCTGCCTAAAAAAGTGTGAAAGGCACTGCTGTGTATGACTCTTCACAGTTTGCTTCAGCATAATTACAACCAAGAACTCCCTAATCAAGAGAGAAAAAGGCTTAATGTGTGACGTATAGAGCAATCTATGACAAAAATGAATGTATAAAAATTAATATTGCTTCAAAACATTCTTATATGTATGAATATGTTTCTTTGTGAGACTGTAACATTTTCCTTTTGTGATATCGTTTTAGGTTTTTTGAGATATTTTCTTTACCAAGCCATGTCCAAAAGTACTACTCTGAAAACCTCATAAATACTTCAGTGTGAAGAACCCTCCGCTTAGAACAAACATTTTGTCTTCAGACATCTTAGGGAAGTTTGGTAAAGAACAGCAGGTACGCAGTTATTCGTGTTCAAACAGTTTAGCGCATGTTTATCTTTTGTCTGCCTGTGGCAAAAGCAAGATGGAAGACAACTGAACGTAGTATTCGAAATGATTCATATGCGCGCTTGATCTTCAACATTCTTACTCCTGATTCTGTAATAAGATTAACACAATTTAAAGGTTTCTTGTTCTTACGAGCAGCCATCCCCCTCACCATGGTGCGTTCCGACACAGCATAACATGAACCTGGTTCGATCTTTCCCCTAGAACAGTGTTTGTTATTGTGGGCCGCGTTTCTGGGTCATAACAGCAAAGAAACAGCCATAAAATCTTTGGTGATAGGGACACAAAATTATGCTTCAAGTGAGGTAAGATAGGCTTTCTATTGTAAACCCTGGTTGTTCAAGATGTAGACGCTGCCAGAGGAGCCTGATCTGTACACTGCCAGAGCCAGCGGGCTTATAGCACTTTAATTACATACCCAACACCTCGATCAAGAACCTGCGAGAGGCAGACGTGCCCATCTTCACTACTCCAGTGCCTGGGAGACAGAGTGAACATTGATTAATTAATCAAGCACATTGGGCAGTTGGCCTAAGAACTGGATTTTTTAGTAATGCACCACATAGTCAGACATCCATATTTGTGGAACCCACATGCTTTTTTATTGATAATAGTGAAGCATGGCCCGTTAACACAGGATTACTCTAAAAGTTTCATCAGCTTGATAGTGCAATTACAGGCCTGACACTCGTCGCCAATCAGTGTTTAACAGGTAAGTGACAAAACTGGTATTTAACAAGATAAATGCTGCAGAGAGCCACTTGATGTATGCATTCAGGACCCCTCTCATGGCTGGCTGCAGTGGTAGCCAAGAATCATACTTGGTTTTACTTTGGTTTACATTGCTGATAATGCCTCTCAAACTCAGGTTCATGAAAAAGAACGGAGGGGCGGGCATTTGGCACAGCAGTTGGGACATCACTTGGGACCCACATCCTATGCTGCAGTACCTGGCTTCTCTGCTTCCCATCCAGATTCCTAGTAATCCTCACCCAGTTAATGACTCAAGTACTTGGAACCCTGCCATCCACATGTGGGATCTGGATTGAGTTCTGGGATCCTGACTTTGGCCTGGCCTGGCCCTGGGTGTTCGGGCACTTGGGAGTGGACCAACAGATGGAAGATCTCTCTCAGAAGTGAGAATCTTCTAGTTACCTAGTCTTTGAAGTGACACCTGAATCGCACTGCAGTGCAGGGGATTAGACAAGCACTGGAGAACTAGGAAGTGGGGAGCCCTCAGAGCCCTCTTAGAAGCCTCCTCTTAGAGGACTGTATTTGCCTCAGAAAGATGAGGCCAGTGTCACTTCCATTGTAATTGTCTTCACCGCCACTGGGGCTCAGTGCTCCGGGGAGGGAGGAGTGATGGGAGGAACCGCTTGGTTCCCCCAGCTGAGTGACTGTCTACAGGTAGCTGATCCTCACCACCCACCAATCAGGAGGACGCTGCTTAGGCCTCCTGTTAGAGAATCCAATAGGAAGCCACTGGAGTGAAGAGACTGATGCTCTTGGTCTGTATCTGTGGAAACTGAAACCTAAGTCAGATGCATTTCTTACAAGTTTAGCCAATGAATAACCAACAACTAATCTCTAGTTACATACCTAGGAATTTTTGCCAGAATTGTTAAACTACAACAACTACAAAACTAACCAACCAGTTATTTCTTGGCTTCCTCAGTTCCCTTACAAAATCCCTTTCTTGAAGCCCCTCTGGCAGAACCCCAAACCTCAAAGCATAGTTGGGTATTAGTGTCACCTGATCCATGAACTGATGTTTGTGCAAACTAATTTTTAATATGCCTTACTTTAATTGTTAAAAATCTCTTGATAACCAGCTAGGAGATGAATTTTAGTCTTCAAGGCAGTGCCTGACCACCCTTTCCTAAACTCAGATCTGAGTGGTTCTTAGGGGAAGATTCAGAAGTAGAACTGATTGGGGATGGTTAAGCATTATTTGTCTAGTATGTGGTCCCTGCTCATACTGTTCAATGGGATGTCTGCTCCTCAGCCTGGGTAGAGAAAGGGTGTTCCAAGTAGACGTTCCTTGGACTTTTTTTTAACATTTATTTTTATTTATTTGAGAGAGTTACAGAGAGGTAGAGACAGAGGGAGAGAGGTCTTCCATCTGCTGGTTCACTTTCCAGATGGCCACAAGGGACGAAGCTGCATCAGTCCAAAGCCAGAAGCCAGGAGCTTCCTCTGGGTCTCCCACACGGGTGCAGGGAACCAAGGACTTGGGCCATCTTCTACTGCTTTCCCAGGCCATAGCAGAGAGCTGGATCAGAAGAGGAACAGCCGGGACTACAATCGGTGCCCACATGGGATGCCAGCACTTCAGGCCAGGGCGTTAACCCACTGTGCCACAGTGCCAGCCCCTTCCTAGGACTTTAGTAGATGCCCCAAATGGCTTCTCTCATTCTCTCTCACTCTCTCTGTCCCTCCCTCCTCCTTTCTAACTCCTCTTCCTCTCCATTCCCTTTTCCTTTCCCTCTCGCTCTCCCCTCTTTCTTGTCTCCTCTCTTCTCACTGGCCCCAGGACTCACTTCCCTGGGTAGCTGATGGATAGAGGGGAACTTCCTCAAATGATAAAGGGCATGTATGGCAAAGCTATAGCTGGCATCATACTTAGCAGCACAGACTGGATGCTTTCTTCTCAAGATCCAGACAAGGAGGGATGTTGGCTCCCACTACCACTTCTGTCATTGTGCTGGAGATTCTGGCCTGAACAATCAGACAAGAAAAGGAATAAGAGGCTCTGAATCAGGAAGAAAAGAAAAGTTAAACTCTTTATCCACAGGAGACATGATAATCTGATAGACTCTACAGAAAAATCTAGAACTAATGAGTTTAGCAGAGTTGCAGGAAAGGTCAACATTGCAATATTAGTTGTATTTCTATCTTGGCAGCAAACAATTAGAAATAGTAATTAAAAGACATTACCATTAAAAAATATGACATGAGGCAGGCATTTTAGTCTAGCAGTTAAAATGCCTGTGTCCCATCTGAATACCTAGGTTTGATTGTTGGGGTCTTAGCAGTTCTTGGCTGCTAATGTGGACCTGGGAGGCAGTGGGAATGGCTCAAGTAATTGAGTTTTGTCACCCACATGGAAGACGTGGGTTAGTTCCTGGCTCCTGGCTTTAGCCGCCAGCTGTTGGGGGCATTTGTAGAATGAACCAGCAGATGGAAACACACACACACACACTCTCTCTCTCTCTCAGTGTACATGTACGTGTGCCTCTCTGTGTCTCTGCCTCTCAAATTAAAACAAAACAAAACAAAAATTTAATAACATTCTTAGGAAAAAAATCTTAGAAAAGTTGTAGAACACTTATATACTGAAAACCAAGGAACACATTAGAGAGCACAGAAATAAACCCACACGTGGAATCTGAGTTTTTACAGCGGTATACAGGCGATTCAGTGAAAAAAGTAGTCTTCTCAACTAATAATGCTGGAAGAATTGGATATCCATATACCAAAAAAAGATACTGTAATCCATAAAATTAACTGGAAATGTATAGTAGATTTCAAGTAGAATTTAAAACTTCTAGTGGAAAACAAGGAGAAGATCTTTGTGACTTCAGGTTATGCAAAACTTATTTTTAAAGCAACTTTTTGACTATTAGTTTTTCAATTCTTTTTTTGTTTGTTTGTTTGTTTGTTTGTTTGTTTTAAAGGCAGATTAACACACAGAGGTTTTCCATCTTCTGGTTCATTTTCCAAATACTTGTAACAGCCAGAAATGGACCAGGCCAAAGCCAGGAGCCCAGAACTCAATCCAGATCTCTGACGTGGGTGGAAGGGGGGACGCAAGCACTAGAGCCATCATCTACTGCCTCCCAGGTGCACTTTAGCAGGAAGTCAGCTTGGAAGCAGAGGAGCCCAGACTTGAACCAGGCACTCGTACATGGCACATGGGCACCCCAAGTTGCTTCTTAACCACTGTGCCAAACACCTATTCTGGAAAAATTCCTTATATATAACCAATAGGATGATCCTTTTTTTTTTTTTTTTTTTTTTTTTTTGACAGGCAGAGTGGACAGTGAGAGAGAGACTGAGAAAGGTCTTCCTTTTACCATTGGTTCACCCTCCAGTGGCCACTGCAGCCAGTGCACTGCGCTGATCTGAAGCCAGGAGCCAGGTACTTCTCCTGGTCTCCCATGCGGGTGCAGGGCCCAAGCACTTGGGCCATCCTCCACTGCACTCCCTGGCCACAGCAGAGAGCTGGCCTGGAAGAGGGGCAACCAGGACAGAACCAGCACCCCGACCAGGACTAGAACCCAGTGTGCCGGCGCCACAGGCAGAGGATTAGCCTATTGAGCTTCGGCACTGGCCAGGATCATCCTTAAAAGAACAAATTAATGGGGCCGACACTGTGGTGTAGTAGGCTAAGCCTCTACCTGCAGCGCCAGCATCCCCTATGGGCACCAGGTCATGCCCTGGCAGCTCCACTTCTGATCCAGCTCTCTGCTATGGCCTAGGAAAGCAATGGAAGATGGCCCAAGTGGTCAGTAACCTGCACCCGCGTGGGACACCCAGAAGAAGCTCTTGGCTCCTGGCTTCAGATCAGCCCAGCTCCATTGTGGCCATTTGGGGAGTGAACTAGCAGATGGAAGACCTTTCTGTCTCTCCCTCTGTCTGTAACTCTGCTTCTCAATTAAATAAATAAAATCTTTTTAAAAAATTTGATAATTGGGCTTCACCAAAATTAAAAATGCCTGTTCTTCAAAAGAATTTTAGAGAATGAAGATACAGGCTGCAGATGGGGAGAAAATATTTGCAAAACATTTATCTGATAAAGAACTTATAATCAGAATATATGAAGAATACTGAAAACCCAACAGTAAGAAAACAAAGCAACGAGCAGGAATTGTGATACAGTAGTAAAGCCACCACTTGGATGCCCACGTCCCATCTTGGAGTGCCTAGGTTCAGGTCCTCGCTGCT